GCTTTCCCTCAATTCTACCCTTACCTTTGTAATTAGTCTTTGTTTTAACTGTTCCTCAAAGTACTGAAGATGAGTTGCCAAAATCTTCCTGCTGGGACTCTGACTGATCACCTTGCCAAGCAGGAAGGGAATCAGAGTCTAACCTTCTGATGGAGAAGATACATGTACATCTCTCATCCTTGAGTCAGGAACCGGTTCCTCTGTATGGGATACTTAAATAGTTTTGGCAGAAGTGAGATTCCACCAGTCAAAATGGCTCCCATCTTAATGGCTATTTGATAAAATTCTCCCCTATTGCTAACATGGAAAGTGGGGATAAAACAGTCAACTACTGACAGGGATGAAGGAAATCAGTAAAGTCTGTGATTGACTGTTGCTATTGAAAGTCTGGTACATGCTACAAATGCTATGTGACATATCAAGATGATCTCTTGGTTTGGGAAGTAGTGCTGCTTACCTGGTTACAGAAGCCCCCTTATAGGGCAAATGAGTGGTGACTGAGGACATGTCATTCTGGGGTTTTAAAATGCAAAATACCAATATGTGTGTGTACGTGTGTTTGTGTATATGTGTGTATGTGTATGCGCTATAATAGTGTCTGACCACTGTAAAAGGTGATGGGTAAGCATGATCAAGACAGAGATGTTAAACTAGGTTGCTGGCAGTGGAGGAAGAAGGCCTTCATGTTTGGGTTGAAACCAGAGGAATAAAATAGATGGAAGAGCTAGACTACTTTTGCAATATTGCCTTGAGGGTAAAGAATATTCAGATAAAATACCAGGACCATGGGTCTACCATCCCATCTATCAGGGAAGAGGAAACTGAAAGATTATGAGAAGGCTGAAAAAAGTAGAGTGTTGTCTCACTCTGGTCATATGTTAAAACAAAGAGCTGAAACTAGGCAGCCCTGTGTACTGAGTCAGCTGAACTCTTTAGGGAATCTGGGACTCGTATTTCACACTTTGCTAAGCTAAGTAAGCTTATAAAAGTTACTCAAACCTAAAGCATATAGGTTATTTTTTTTCCCAGAACAATACCCACACTGGGAGATGATTTTCGAAAAGTCTATAATTAGAAAGGAAAAGGTAGTTATTTAAACAATTTTGTACTGTTACATAATCGTTGAAGATGAAAATGGAAAATGAAATTCTGTTGTCATAGCTCTGTAAGGTCATCATTTTTGAACTGTGTGAAAATCACATGGGACAACTGGAACTGATGATGTCATCCTTGTCATCCTGTGATCTTGACCTAGAGCACTCTCACGACTGGTTGGGGGATCAATAGTTGCCAGGAATAGTTCAAACAAAGTTGTAGTAATTGTAAGCACAAAGCAATTTTCCTTCACTAACTTCTCAATTGTAATTTGTCCACATTAGACTGATAAGTGACGTCTGCTGCTGATTCAAGGGTCACATTGGCACATTCTAGCGTGAAGGAGTGGGCAGCAGGCTATTCTTGACTTGAATCCCTCAGATATGGCAAAACCCTAAAAATTGAGATAAATTTCTAATGATATGAAATAAATCTATGATATTTAAGGTCTTACCCATACCCAATTCTGGTTTAAGATATAATAATTAAATTCTGCTAACCAAATAAAGATTATACCAAATTGGGAAAGCCATAAATATGTCTTAAAATTTGGCAATCCTTCTGGAAACAAAGAAACATAAAGGCTGAGAAACTGTTAACTCATTTTTTCTCTTTTTAAACAGAAATTACAAATGCATTTTTTAAAAGTAAGAGATGCGACTTAAATACCATATTAATTTGCGCTTTCTCTCCATTTCCCCAATATTTCAACTATACAATGGTGATATGGAGAGAATAATGTGTTTCTACATTCTGATATACTTCACCCTAAGCAGACTTTATTATGTATTTCTGCAGAATTGACATCATCACTTTTAAATGTTTGAACAAAGAATTGCACAGGAGAAACACTGTTGATTATGCTGGACATTTTTATTCAGGTAGCACTGCAGATCTTTAACTTATCTTTCTGAGTTACACGTGTTAACATTTCACACATTTCTGTCATTTCAGCAAATAGCTAATACAAGAAAAAACTCCCTATATATACTTCTGAAAATGCGCAAATTTCTATTCTTAAAAATTGTCTGCCAGTAAAGAACCTTTACAACTCAGCGTCAAAAAGAACTCAAATAAAAAATGGACAAAGGACTTGAATAGACATTTCTCCAAAGAAGACAAACAAATGTCTCATAAGCACATGAAAAGATAATCAATGTCATTAGTCATTAGGAAAATGCAAATCAAAACCACAGTGAGAAATCACTTCACACCCACTAGTATAGCCAGGAAAAAAAAAAAGGAGAATAAGTATTGGTGAGGATACAGAGAAATTGGAACTTTCATACATTGTTGGTGGGAATGTAAAATGGTGCAGCCACTGTGGAATACAGTTTGGCAATTCCTGTATAAGTTAAACATAGAATTACCATATGACCCAGTAATTCCACTCCTAGGTATAGACACAAAAGAATTGAAAATAGGTATTCAAACAATAACCTATACAGGAATGTTCATAGCAACTTCATTCACAATAGGCAGAAGGTGGAAACAATCTAAATGCCATCAATGGATGAATGGATAGACAAATTGTGGTATATCAATATAATGGAATGTTATTCAGCAATAAAAAAGAATGAAGTACTGATACATGCTACAAAATGGATGAAGCTTGAAAACATTATACTAAGTGAAAGAAGCCAGACATTAAAAGCCACATATTGTATCATTTAATTTAAATGAAATACTCAGTATAGGCAAATCCACAGAGATGGAAAGTAGATTGGTGGTTACCTGGTGCTTGGGGTGGGGGAATGGGGAATGACTGCTTAATGGGTATGGGGTTTTGGTTTGAGGTGGTGAAAATGTTCTGTAACTAGATAGTATGATGGTTGCCTAACATTGTCAATGTACTTAATGACACTGAATTGTTCTTTATTTGTAGCCACTTTAAATGGTTATCATGGTAAATTTTATGTTATGTGTATTTTACCACAATAAAAAGAAAATTTTAATGAATTATCTACCTAATGATAGATTTAGGGTATTATCTTTCTTTTGAGTCAAATATGTATATTTATCCATTGTACATACTAGAAGGGATTTCACTGCTTTTCAAAAGAATCACCTATGGGGCCAGCCTGGTGGCATAGTGGTTAGGTTTGCCAGCTTTGCTTTAGAGGCTGGGGTTCACGAGTTCAGATCCCGGGCACAGACCTACACACTGCTCGTCAGGCCACACTGTGGCGGTGTCACATCTGCAAAGTAGACGAAGATTGGCATGGATGTTAGCTCAGGGACAATCTTTCTCAAGCAAAAAGAGGAAGATTGACAACAGATATTAGCTCAGCGTCAATCTTCATCATAAACACACACAAAACAATCTTTTATAATCAGATGAAATGATACCCTTTTGAGTGAATAACAAATAGCTCTTAAAAATGTGCATTCATATTGATTTTGTGCCAAATGTGAATTATGTGATTAGAATTCCCAGTCTTAAGCCCAGTGAAATCTCACATGCTATCAGACCCAATGCGTGTTTCGAGTGACAGGTATGGAGGAAGGGTAGAGATCAGAGGCACAGGTTTTACAGTGAAGTGGATTCATATCCTAGCTTTTCTAATACCGCATGTGGGACTTCAGGCAAGGAACAGTAATCTCTCAAGTCTCAGTTTTCTCACTAGTAAGAAGGGGATAATGATATCTATTTTCTGGTGATGTAAGAATTGAATGAGTTCATATATGAAAAGTGCTTAGCAATGGACTCATCATATAGTAAATGTTCAATATGGTGGTGACTTGCAAGACAGGCTTATATGGACCTTTTCTAATGTAATCCTTTTATAAATTGTGTGAGATATTTACCTTCAATGGGAAGGAAGTTAATTCATCTTGCCTTCTCAGGATTCTAACTGGGGGGGGGGGGTATCTTTTGATGTGCTGACTAGATTCTGGCATAGAGGGGTACTTTTGATTAAATGAAGAGGTCATCAGTTAAAGCGGTTACCTCCCTACTTCACTGTCCTCTTTTCCCCATCTCAGCTCGCCAAGTATTCTGGATCTCTTTCTGCAGAAGGGTGCAGAGCTAGCTTTTGGTAGAACTCTAGTGTAAGCTCAGTGTGCATCTCCTTACTAAATTCATCAAGGGTGAGACGTAAGGACAAAGAAAGAGAAGGTTATTGCCTATTTGAAGTTTATAAAGAAAGAAAGCAGGAAGGTAGAAAAAGGGAAGAATGAACAATAAAGAAAGCTGGTCTTGTTTCTTTAACCACACTCTAAATTACTGATTTCAAATTGGTCCAAGGACCCAAACCATCGGGCCATGTGGGTCACACTGGCTCTGATATTCAGCCAACACATAAAGAAGCTGACAAAAATTCAAAGGAAAGCATTACTTTTGCAAAACAAAAGACAAAGGGTGCATACAGGATCATAATTCAATTGGGAAACCTGCCTGATAGTCCCAACTCAGCACAAGGCTTTCCACGTCTCCTTGACATCAGTCAGCTGGATGTCGGCTATACCTGAAGCAGTTTTGCTAAGGGGTGTGAAGAAAACGCTTAAGTGTAAAACTTATTCCCTGATCCTCAAAGAGCTTACAACAGCGCTGGAGAGATTAGCCGTGTAACTAACACTCCAGGGCGGTCAATGAAACGTGACAAACGAGTTGGCAGGGGCCTTGAAAGCGGAGGAATTCACAGTTAGGGATCATTTGGGGCAAGGGGCTTGTCAAGGAAGACTTTAAGAGGTGGGATGTTATAGACTCTAAGTGGCGAATAAAGTTTTCGATGGGCGGGAACTCACAGCATTGCCTGCTAAGGACTCAGGCTGGCCACGCCACGGCGCGCGCGGGGCCGACTGGCCTGACCCATCGGGCTACGGCGCGTGCGCAGCCCGAAGCTCGCGCCGGGAGCGCGGCCCGCGGGATGCCCGCCAGGAGCCGTGAGCGCGAGACCCCGCGCTCGAAGGCGGGAAAAGCCTCGCGCATGCGCGGCTCGGAGCGTCGGGCTCGCCAGGATGGGGAAGGGGAGGTGGAGTTTCCAAGAGGGAGCTTGACCCGTTAGCAGCCGCGGCCATGGCGGCGCGCTCGCCGCCCTCACCGCTCCCTCCGCCCCCAGAGCGGCGTTTGGGACCCTGGTCCCCACGTGTTGGGCGGGGAGCTGTGGTACACACAGTGTCCTGCGAGGCCACGGGGCTTGCCGGCGGAGCGCGGGAGGGCGTCGTGGACAAAAGCGATATCTCTTTGCGGGGCGAAGAAGGGTCAGGGGGCCGGCGAGGGCCAGGGCGGGCAGCTCCGGCTCAGGCTCCCCTCCTCAGCGCGCCCGCGGGGTCCAGGCGGCTAGAGGGCATCTCGGTAGAGGAGGCGATGGTGACCCGGACGCAGCTGCTAGAGGACGAGCTGAGCAGCCTAAAGGAGGAGCTGGCCCTGTGTCAGGTATCGAGGACTCTGGGCGCCGGCCTTCCCCCGGCGGCGGGGCCGGGACCGGCGGGGACGTGCGCCCCTCTCCCTCTGCCTTCGGCTGCGTCGCTGCGCGGGTTGGGGACCCACCCGGTCCCGCCCGGCGGCCCTCCCTCCCGGCTCCCGCAGCCAGCCCGGCCCGCTGCTCGGGGCTGGAGGGACGCGGCGGCCACACCGCCCGGGCTCCCGCCCCTGTCCGGACGCCGGCCGGGCAGAGATCGCCTCGGCGCCCTGGCTTTGGTTTAATTCACTAGCGTACCCCCAGAACTTGCAGTCACACCCCAGTCCGTCCCCCAGAAGCCCAAGTTCTCGGTCGTGACTGTAGTGGTACTTGGTGCCGCAGGAGTGGAGTGCCATCCACCAGTTGAAATGTTGAACAGGAAAACACTTATTAAAATAAAAACCATCGATGAAGGAGCCTGTTTTCGATTTTCAAACCCACAGTTGCCCTTGTTCTTAAGTTAACTGAAGTCGAACTTAAGATGTAAACACAGAACGATAGTTTTTAGGGAGTCTCGGGCCGGGAACTTTCACACACAATAGATGATGCCTGTTCCTTGTTTATGAACCAACTGTACTAACTCCATGGTCCGTGAGTGAGAAATCTCACTTTCATGTCAACTGGCCAGTGAAAAGCATTTACTAAATCAGTTGCCTGAACTTTATTTTCCTGGCATTTGTAGAGTTGGTGCATACTAAAGACGGCTTGGCTGTACTCACGTTTAGAGAGATTTGGTTTTCCTTTAGTTCTGCAGCCTTACCACATCTTTTGGATTTTACCAGAATCTTTAGACAGGGTGAGGAGATTAAATGTTGAGAATTCACTCAGCAATAGATCTCTGAGTAACTGCTTTCAAGATAGAACCAATAGGGACTGCTGAACAGCAAGGTAACTTTATGAACGGTATCAGTTTAGATTAATAAGAATTCATGAAATTCGTTGTCTCTCATATTGGGTCCTTTTGCCCCTTTTGTAGGTCCTTGTTGATTGTGTCAAGGCTATAAAAACATGACAGTCTTGTTGAAATTAAATATGCCTTTGCTTAAACAAGTTGGGGAGATATTACGTGGCTGCTCCTGTTCATTATCCCGTTTTGTATTCTTCACTGGTTAAGGAGGAAAGGGATGAAATAAAAGACATAAATGGACATTTTATCATCTGCACACTTCACCCTTGGGTATTTTAAAGATGTGAACCCATGATAAAGGCCTTTGTGACTTTGACAAGTCCTAAGATGCTATTTGCCCCTATTCATTCTGCCCTACCCCTTGCTCTGTTTCCCATAGTTATACCCTTAGCTGGCTAAGGAGCTAAGATATTTACTTTTTATGAGTGACTTGATTAAGGAAATCAGTCTGTTGGAAACTGCCCAATGACTCCCTCCCCCAAATACATTCACTGTTATATTCTTTAAAAATATAGCTTCAAACATGGTGTTGGCCTTTGTGACCTTGGACATATATGAACTAGGAAGATGATGGAAGTTCTTTAGGCAGATGTAAGAATAGAAATGGTCATAATTAGCCTAGAACAATGGTTCTTGAGATTTTTATAATGTTGACACTGTTAGATGATCATAGGCATTCCAGTAATGTTAGATGAGATTGGCAGTATCCCATACTATAAAAGTTTAGTCAAACCATACTCTTGCTTTTGGGGAAACTTAGGCGAAATAATAATTGAATTCCTAATTGTTTGGTAAAAAAGCATTGAAGTAATTAAGCATTCACTTTTACATCTTTTTTTATTTGTTATTCATTTACTGATTCAGGTAGAAGTCATAGTACCCTAGAATATATAGCATTAACTCTATGTTTTTTGAAACTTTCAAAAATGGTAACCCAAAATAAGAAATTCATTTTATATCTCAACCGAGTAAGTATACACACATACACATACATATAATTTAAGAAAGAATATTTACCCTGTGTGTTATGAATTCTGATATTTTCTTTTAAATTCTATTCTTTAAGAAAATGCTGGTCAGATCTACTAAATTAATTTCACAATCCAGTAATGGGTCAAATATACAGTTTGGGAAAAAGAACCCTGCTAATTAGTCTCTGGTCATAAGTAGAAGTTTCACTTAGGTCAGTTGGTTGTTTTCCACATTTAACTTAATTAGAATTCAATTATATGTACTGGTGGAGAAAAAGAAAGTTTGAGTGATTCCATGTACCATTCTACTCCATGGGAATGACTCAGAATAAGCATGTGATAGAAAACAATCTCAGTTACAAGTGTTTCTCTTAATATGAACAGCTCATCCTATTCTATGTGATTGTAACACGTATTTAGTTAAACGTTTTTTTTCATATGGCCCCAGATTAGCAAGCAACATACACATAATGCTTAGCTGAAGAAAACATGATTAATTTCAACATGGGGAGAAAAACTGTCTATATTGGACTTACTGAGGATAGGATGTTAGCTTCCAAATGTAGCTTTTTCCTAAGGAAGTTTCAAGGGTGCTCCAAAGGATAATTTTAAGTCCATAACATTTATGCCTTATTCATTGATTTAGAACGTAACTTCACCATACTCTTAATTTTGATTATATATTTCAAAATGTGTTCTATTTGTGAGGAAGGATGCTGTGGGTATGTAAATGTGCACATTTATCATCTATAGAATGCAAGATGAGAAAAAGTAATGTTATATATGTGTAATATATGTGTATACACATTTATATTTGTGTGTGTACGTGTGTATATATATATATGTCAAAGCTTAATTCCTTTTTTACTAGCGGTCAAGAATATTTACGAAACCTAAGAGCCAGTTTTGGGTAAAAAATTATTTAGGGCATTTAAGTGAAATATATGTTCATTATTCCAACTTTAATGATGAAACTAACTTTCATGAAGCATATCATGTTGGAATTAAGAGTATATGACTAGAAAACTCAGCCAGTTATATTTTTTGTTAAATATTTAGATGTGTTGAGTATATGACTAGAAAACTCAGCCAGTTATATTTTTTGTTAAATATTTAGATGTGTTGAAACCTTGCCCAGTCATTCACAAACAAAAAAATTTTGAGAACATATTGTATAATTGGAATCCTCACCATTGTCAGTAGCTGTGTTCTAATGAATCTTTTTTGTGCAATTATTTTTCATAATAATTTATTGAGTGGCTATTTTGTGCCATACTTTGTAATTAAACTGCTTCCATTGTCTTCCCTTAGTTCTGATAGGCAAATTATTTGTTTAAATTTAAGAAATAGTTTTCATATGTTTGTGGAATTTATTCCTTCAGTAGAGGTCAACTGAGGGCCTATTATGTTGCCAGACACTAAACTAGGTGCTGGAAAAGTAGTTATGTGATGAAAAAGACAATTTTGGGTGTCTATGTCTGTAAAGTTGACATTTATTTCCATGCTAGCTGATAAGTGAAAGTCAAAGCCAATCTACCGCTGAGATAATTTAGACCCAAATCTCCTAGCATTTAGTTAACTCTTTCATAGGCCAACTTTAATAAACTTTGTGAGAGGGAGTAGGTTTTTTAATTTAAATTTTAAATTATTTGATTCTGTGTGGAAGTTATGTGATAAGAATAAAGAATTTTATAATGAGAATTTTTAATCATTTTTATTTTTAATTTTTTAAAAAATATTTAAGTGCTCAAAGGAAGGGAAAATATAGGAAAATATAAAGAGAATGTGATTGGCAATAGTTTCCTTGTTTTAATCATGTCTGGAATAGTTTGGAACCTAGTTTTGTGTCTTTTCGGGAGGGCTTTATTTCTTTTTGTATATGAAAGAGGGTCTTTTTAGTAATTAGAGGTATAATCCACGTTTAAGACGCTATACCATTTAAATAACTAAAACATTCACAAAAATGAGTACATAAAATAGTCCAACAATCCATTCGTAGCATTTTATTGCTCGTAAAAGAACTTACTTAAAAAAAAAATCAGATATCACTTAGACATTTGAGTATTTTTAGGTGACAAAAATCTGAATAATATTGCTAACCATAAAAAAAATTAATAACTAAAGTTTAAACTAAAGAAACTTGGAAATAGAAAATTCTCCTCAAAATGACTTCTGGGTATAAATTGTAATTATAAATTAGTAACAATGGAATGTTTCTGGAGGAGTCTTCTGGTTGCTTTTTTCTCTGGCCTCTATGATACAAACAGCTTAAGGAGAATTTGTTGTTACTTTCTCTTTCTTGGGGATTGAAGAGGAGATGTGGAGTAAACATTAACCATAACAACAACAAAAAGAAAGAGAAAAGAGAAAAAAATGTATAAATTAAGATGTAAAGACTTTTTCATCAGATATTTGTTGATTTCTTACTATGTCCCTTTCACTGTGCTAGAGCTAAGTCTTTTATTAGTAAACTATACTTATTTAAGCTGAAGTAACTCAGTTATTTTATAAATGTTGAAAACCTACTCTTACATTTTTACTTATATTAATCTTTCTTGCCTAGTATTTTAGGTAGAAAAGTTGAGGTGACAATACATATGAATCTTTGCTATGTTGTTTGGAGCAAATTATAAGATATATTTATAGATAATATTGGTTTCAAGGGATTTTGTAATTTCATCAACATAGTTTTTAAAAATAGAGATGTTAGAGCACATAATGTTGCATTAGCTTTCTTTCTCCTTATCTTCACTGCCTTTCAAACAGGTTATGACATGTGATGTATATATTGACATTTCTTGTCTTTAACTTGAATCATTTTAATATACAAAGCTGAATTCTTGCTTCTAAAGGGATAAAGTAAAGCATGATATATAAGAATAGATAAGGTAGTACTTTCCAGTACTCAGGCTATCCAAAGTCTTTAAAAGTTTTTAAAAGTCTTTAAAAAATGAACAAACAAAACCCTGAATAGATCAAAGATTTGAGCATTAAAAAATGAAAACAAAAATTTTAAAAGAAAGTATGGGTAAATATATTTCTAATCTGGGAGTAGAGAAGACCTTGCTAATTGGTATATAAAATCCATAAGCCATAATGGAAAAGATGGGTACATTTGAATATATAAAATTAATAACTCCTTTTTGCCAGAAATCTCCATCATAAATAAAATTAAATAAGCAACAGCGTACTGGGAAAAAATATTTGTCACGTATTTGGTAGACATAAGTCTAATTTCAAGATTTCCAGCAATAATTCTTATATTTCATTGGCAGAACTTAATCACCTAGCCCATAGGCAAGAGAGGCCAGTGTTTTAATTGGGCACCAAAGAGCCAAAATGGTTTCTATAACAAATAGGTAGGGGAGAATGGATGATGGAGGCAGATACAAATAGAGATATCTGCCACATAAGTAAACCCAAACAACCAACCAAACAAATATAGTATTATAAAATGAAATGTGCTATGAAAAAAAATTAAACAGGGTAAGGGGTTACCAGAGACTTGTGAGTTTTGGTGGGTATACATAGAGTAGTCAAGGAAGACTTCTCTTGAAGAGGTGACATTTAAGCAAAGACCTGAATGTAGTGTGAGAATAATCTGTATAAAAATCTGGTAGATGGTACATGTGCAAAGGCCCTGGTAAAAGTACAGCAAGAAGGTTAGTGTGAACAAGGTGGGAGAGTGACAGATGAGGTTGGAGAGGTGTGTATTGGGGCCAGATACTGTGGGGTCTTTTGAGCTGGGTAAAGAGTTTGGATTATTTTCCTAATCTGAAAGGAACCCAGTTAAGGATTTTGAGCTATAGGGAGGCTGGGGACCATTATGGAGAGCTAGGCAAGAGATGGAGTTGGCTTGGACTAGGATGACGATGGTAGAGGTGGTGAGAAGTGGCTAGAATTGGGGATATTTTGTAGGTAAGGCCGATAGGATTTACTGGTCCTTTGGATATAAGTCCGACGAAAAGAGAGTGACCAAGACTGATTCTTAGTTTTTAGGCATTTGAGCAAATGAGTAGATGGTGGCGTCGTTTTCCGAGATGCAGAGAAGCACGTTTGTGAGAGGGTAGGAAATCAAAAATTTTATTTTGGATAAATTAAATTTGAGATACCTATTAGGCATTCAAGTGGAATTAGAGTAGGCAGTTGGAGATTCAAGTCTGCACCTAAGGGTAGAGGAAAGGGCTAGAGATAGAAATGTGGGAGTATGTGGGAGTCATCAGTGTAGAGTTGAGATGTAAAACCATGGGACTGAGTGAGGTCACTTAGGGCAGTGGTCCTTATTCCTGGGTGCACAGAATCACCTAAGGAGCTTTTAAAAAATAGTGATGCTTGAACATTACCTGAAACCAATTTAATCAGAATCTCTAGATCATCACTATTTAAAAAAAACTCCGAAAGCAATTCCTAAGTGTCAGCCAGGGTTGATAACAACTGACCTAGGCATTGAGGACTGAAATTGTCCATTATCCATTGGGTTTGGCCATGTAGAGGACCTTGAAAAATGATTTTAGCATAATAGTGGGGAGGGAAAACTGACTGGATGAGGTTATAGAGTGAATAGGAAATGAGGAAGTAGAGATCGTGATTATAGGCAACTTTTTCAAGGAATATCACTGAAAAAGGAAGGTGAAAAATGGAGCAGTAGCTATAGGGTAATTTTGTTTTAGAGCGAATTTACCTTGATATTTAGCATTTCAACATTTACACCCTAAAATGTAAGTGGTAGAAATAGTAAAAGTGAATGTGGGTTACCAGTGTAAGAACTTCTTAAAAATAAAGCTTTCCTGCTATACTTTTCAAGAATGTATTTTGTAGTTGTAGAACTAGGGATCAAGTAATTATTTTTTTTCATTTTTTAATTTTATATAGCGTCGTGTCTTCCCTGATTTAGCTACAAAGCAATACATTTAAAATGTCTTTTGTTTCTTTAAGGCTGATAAAGAATTTGTATGGTCTTTGTGGAAACGGCTCCAGGTGACACACCCAGATCTCACACAAGCGGTCAGTTTGGTTGTGGAAAGGTGAGCTCCCAAGTTATTTTTTCATGAGTATTTGGTTTGTTGAATTTGTTTCTCTTCATTATTAAAATTAAAACCTGGCGTTAATCCCATGAAGAGATTCATTTGACTTCCAAATGAATGTGAGCATGGTATAATTATTGGATTTATTTCAAGGGGTGTGAATTCACCAAGTACAAATAGGCCATATCTTCTGCTCATATTCTGATGTATTTGGGAAGTTTCCAGGTAAGATATAAAACTGTGACTTAGACACTGTGTGTGTGCCTTGAGCTATTATAGCTCAACTTTAAAAATTGGAGAAGTCCTTGTTGTTTGACTTCTTACTCCGAGACTGCCTCTGTTGGCAACTTCCTAGACATGGCTTAATTTTCCCCTAAGATAATTGTAACGTGTACTTGAAAGCCTAGGATGACCTTGCCAGAGTAGAATAAGTGTTCTGGAATAGGTTGAGGGATTTCACTTATCACTCTGTATTACCCTGTAGGGAATGCCCAGTCATTTAACTATAGGTTATGGAACCTCTCCTTGGTCATTAGAAACAGTGGAGTGATGCTGGTTACTCCTTATCAAACATTAGGTATACAGTGGTCCCATGACACTTAGCACAGCAATTAAAGCACTTGCTTTCCTATTAAATGGATTTCATTACATTTCCTAAATGAGAAGCTAAGCATATGGATGTCTTTTCCTTTTTCTTTATTGGAATCATGATTATATAATATGAATATCATTTTTCTGATCACTTGAACTATATTTACCTTTGGAGTGTCTAGCCCTGGGATCATTCCAGTATTGTCTGGAATTTGACTTTTTAAAATCTGGGGTATACATACCTATGTCTAACTTTACCATCCTTGGTTATTGTGAATTCTTAAAATAGTATAATCAGTTTCTCCTCCTGTTGCTTGTGTGTTTAATTTGTCAATCAGTTTTTCCCTTTTGATGATCAGAATTAAGTCTTTTGTTGAAGTACCCTGTTAATCACATGATCCTGATTGAGGATCATCTCAATCATCCTTGAGATGAAATGGGGTCACTCTCAGTCTCACTCTGTTTTTTCACAGAATATGCCTTCCAGAAGATATAGTCTTGGGACTTCAGTTGTCATTTCTGTGATTCTTTCTTTATCCCCCCTCTCCTTTTATTTTTATATATTTTGCAACTTTCTAATTTATTTTTTTAAACTTTCTAAAGCTATCTTTAATTTTCACTTTTCTCTTGGTTGAGACAGAAGCAAATATTAAACTATCATAGATCATTTTTCTCATTCTTTGTTTTCTATTTTTCACATTTTATAATATATATCTTCATATAAAAGTATATATATACAATTTGTAAATAAATGTACATATATTGGGGGTGGGTACTCAAAAGCCTTTTGCTGATAAAATATATAATGGAAAATTTTGAAGATTACTGCTTTACAGCTATGATTCTCAGAATTTTAGTGTGCATAAGATATACTTGGAGAATTTATTAAAATGTAGATCTCTGAGACTTTTCTCTGACCTACTAAATCTCTAGGGATGAGGTCCAGGAGTCTTTTTCGAATAAACTTTCCAGGCATTCTGATGTTGTAGTCAATAGATCACACTATGAGATACCTTGGAATTTGAGTTGACTTTTGAAATTGGAAACTTATGAGTGGCATTTATAGTTTTACAATTACGTAAATATTTATTTTGTAGAGAACCATCTAGTATGTTTGGACCTTTTGAGAGGGAGAAATGGTATGCTATTCAATCTATATTTGTCAAAAAAGAATATTCTCAGTATCAAAGTCAAATATAGACTGTCTTTCTGTATAGTCCATTAGTTACCCAAATGATGCTATATTTAAGTCTGTATAGTATTTGTTCCTTGGTCTTCCTGGACAACCTTTTTTAACCTGTGGAACTTCTAATTGCCCTTCATTTCTGCTTTTCTTATTGTAAAGATGTCTGTGTTGACATTTGTATAATGGCCAAAGACATTCTTCCTTGGGCCCTTGGAAGATGGTATGAATTTAGACCAACTGCTGTTTAAACCTACTCATAGCTGTCATCCCAGGATTTCTTTTCATGGTACTCTTGAACTAGTTCCATAGTTTCTAGGATCCTATATCTTCCTTTTTCTTTTTGTTGGATTATGTTTTCAAAATTTTTTCTCAGAAAAGATACACAAGTGGTTCTACTTTCTAACTTCTTACATGCCTGAAACTGTCTTTCTTTTGTTCTTGTGCTTGATTGATACTTTAGCTTAACGTAAAATTTTATGTCCATGTAATTTCCCTCAGATTTTTGACAGTATAGCTCTGTTATCTTCTTTTAGCCTGTGGTGGTGCTACCAAGTGTATGTGATCCCAATGCAAGTGTGATTCTTATTTCTTTGTAGGTAGCTTGCTTGACACTTTTAGGACTTTCTCTTTATATGTGATATTGTAAAATTTCAACATCATCTATCAACTTGAGTCTTTTAAAAATTCAACCTCAGCCTCTGTTGGGCCCTTTCAGTCTCCAGACTTAAGATTTTCTTTGGATTAAGGAAATATTCTTCTGTTATATTTTTTCTTCATTGTCTGTGTTCTTTTTTGCAGCACTCTATTAGAGGCTGGATCTTGGGGATTTGGCCTTCTATTCTCTCATATTTTCCATCTTTTTATTCTGTCTCCTGAATGGCCTTCTTACTTTTTCTTCCATCAGTGAATAGATTTTTTTTTGCATTTGCCGTATTTTGTTATTTGGATTAATTTTAGAAATCAAATTTTTACTTCTAAGAAATTTCTTGTTTGATTTTTCCTTTTTCCTACCAGTCTTCTTTAAAAGAATAACTTTTTAATCTTTCTGATGATAATTTTTAGGTTCTTTTCTGTTTCTTGTATTATCTTTGTTTTCTGTTGGGTAATCTCTGTTTGTTCTTAGTCCTTTTCTTTAATGATGATGGTTTTCTTCAAGTGCATGATGATCCTCCACTAATTGTTTGTATTTCAATGAAGTTCTATGTTGCTTAATATAGATAAGTTGCTTATGATGGGTTGGCTTTGCATTTTTCTATACCTGTTTACTAGAAGGCTTCTCCTCTGAATGGAAAGATTGACTGTAGGCTTTTTGTAAGGGGTCGGGGAGGGGACTATTGACAAGCTTTCCTGAAGGATGTATGGCAGATGGGTTTCACTGTAGAGAATGAGAGTTAGGCTCTTTAGTCAGTCCCTTTTCTGATTGTATTATTTGCCCCAATGAGCATAGTAGGGACCTTGTGAGGCAAATGGTTGTTTTGAAAGTAGTCTTCAGCCATTTGCTGTAGGCAAATGCTGTTCTGAACATAGATGAGTGAGAAGCCCAGCTTTTTGGTAAATGGTTCTTTAATTAGTGATCTTGATTTCTGTGGGCTTCAGCTCTCTGTGCTTACTAATTGGGTATTTATAGCCTCTCTGGGCCTCTTCCAGAAAAAACAGCTTTCTCTTCCACTATAGACACTATTTGGCTTGTGGATTATGATTTTTCTCAGGGTTTGTCTCTGTCTTTCAGATATTTGTCAAGTTTGTGGTCCATTTTGGATCACTTTTTTTCTTTTCCATGCTGATAGGGGTTTATTCAGGGTGGTATGATTTGGAGATGTCAGTGTCACATTGTCAGTTCATCATCTTCAAGAAGGAGTTATAATATTTTTAGGAGTTACAATGTATTCTGTTATTTTTATATACCATATTTATGTTTAACCAGTGTCTTGTTGTTGTACATTAAGGTTATTTAAAAAAAATTGTATAATGATGCTGCAATGAATGGCCTTATGGATGAAGCTTTGCCTGCATCATTGGTTTCAACCAGTGGTGCTACTGACTTAGTGGACAGAGGCTGGAATTACTAAACCTTGTGAAATGAATAGGATAATCCTACTCAATTAAAGACTTATACCCTCCAAATGCCATTAGTAGCCTTTTGGAAAATGCTGAACTTATCCATAATTCTTTATTTTTTGACTTTTTGGTACTTTAGTATATGTCTTTATAAGTTTTTTGGTAGGATGTCTATATGCATATGTTTCTGTGCATGTATTTTAATTTTTATTACGAAAAATTTTAATTAGTTGCAAAGCCAGACAGAATGCATTAATGAACTCCCATGTTTACTCATGACTCAGCTTGAACAATTATCAACACATGACCAATCTTGTTTCATCTATAACCTTCTACTGCTTTTTGCTCCTCTGCTCCGTCTACCATCATCCGTCTACGTTAGTTGTCCTTTAGGATATCCTATATTCTGAATTCATTTGATTCAAAATGGATTATTTTGAAGCAAATCCCAGACATGATGTTATTTTACCTGCGGTTACATTAGTGTTTATAGTCAATTCTTGTTATTCATAGCAGTGATGTTCTATAAAGTCATTGCAAGCACTGAATTCGCAAACACTGAACCATTGCTCCTTGGGGTATAAAGGATTAGGTTTCTGTGAGCCTCTGGTCACAACATTTTTGTCAACTTATACTCTTGCTATTTGTGCGTTTCTATTTAAAGACATCTTTTAAAATATATATTGTTGATTCATTACTGTTGAACTCATGACCAGTAGTACTATAACTCACTTCTGAACAAAGCTTATCTAACATGCTCTTTTCTCCGTAAGGCACATCACAGCTTTCTTGCACTTAGGAACACTAGACAGCACTTCAGGCACTTCGCTTGATGATCCTTTTAAACAGTGAGATCATCAACAAAAGCGCAAAAATGTGAAAAACATGGCACTAAATAGACCATGAGAAGAACACTTGTTTATAGTGAGAGCTGAAACAAAAAGGCAGAGCGTCCCTAGTTTGACCTCAGCTGGGAACATGTTGTTTGGGTGACTTATATTTTTCACCACTTCCTGCATGCATGCCTGCAAAGGACTGAAAAGTGCCACAGGTATTGATTTTAGGCTTACAAGTAGGTTTTAGTGAGTAGGCAAGTTCACAAATTCTGAATCCATGAATGAGGATTGACTCTCTCTCTAAAAGATGACGGCTGTTTTTAACGTAA